AAGGGCAGGGAAATCTGATGGAGTACCTCAAAGTCTGATGCAAAAACGCATGATCGCACCGGCTCGTCTCGTGCGTTCCAGCCTGGGTTGCATTTATGCAAATGGAAAAGTTGCGTGTGTATTTGTATGTTTGTGTGTGTATGTATGTGTCTATCTGGGTATTTCGACGTGTGTCTGCCTGGGTATTTCGACTTAGCAGCAAAGTAAGCTCTAACGCTAAAATTTTGCCAGTGAGTTCCTTTTAAATTAAAATCGCCAAATCTTATTTCAAGGCAATTCTTGGAACCCTGGGGACGTGGAATATTCATATCTCATTCCTGCTATCGATAATTGTTGCATCGCTTAAAAAGCTCGCATTTGTTACCCCACAACCAAGGTAACAACTCTTATGCATGCCTGAGCCTTGCGTACGAGCACGTGAAAGTTTTGGTGGGGAAATTGCTAAATCGAGAAGCGTAACAGCTGAGAGACTGGAATTTTAGGGGGATGTTGCTTGCCCAAATACAACTTAAAGGCTGAGACGTGCACGAAGGTTGATACCGCGGTCCTGTGGTGGCATTTGACCAAGGAATCCGTCGACAAAATTTTAGCAACGGAGCTTGCTTGGTTGCCCAGTTGAAATATCCGGACAGACGTACACACACATACACACACACACACACGTAAACACACGAACACACACGTACACACGCACACACACAAGTAAACATACAAACATACCCCCACGCCTACACCATGGGTTGTCACAATGTGCGTTTCGCATTTGCATATATGCATAAAATTGATAGTTAAGCGGAAATTGTTAACTTTCCTTTATGCAAAATTTGCAATGATTTGCGCTAGTGAGCGAACAAGGTAAATGTAAAGCAAGAACCGTATAGATAACGATTGGACTGCTTAAGGTATAGTTCATGTGGCATAACGAAGCTTGTGAATTCCGGATCTTGCGCCAGTGTCTTATACTCTACGCTAGCATCGTTGGCATATAGAACTATATTGTAAAATGCATGATCGCTCCAGAAACTTCGGCCTGCTGTCTTTTTTTTCATTTCCTAGAAGTGTTTCTTATAACTGAGTAAGTCCAAGAATCCGATCGCTGGCACTGAGAGCGGTTGGTTCCTTTCGTTCGTTCCTAATATCAAAATGTTTTCATTTATACTTGAGTCTTTTTTTTTGAGGAGCAAGGATAGGCTTGTTTTTTTTACCCGATAATTATCAAATTCATAATTATGTATTGTTGGGCGTAGGGCCAGTAAAATTTGTACTTAGTGGACTAATTTCGAAAAGAGACCTGTGATTGGAAGCAAATTCTGTCGTAATGAATGTAATCTGAATTTTTTCTCCAGGTAATTTGGTGGACGCAGCACGCAAACTGTGTGGAGCGTTCTCGGACTTCTTGAATACGGTAAATCCGGAACACGAGGAGAAGCGAACAACAGTTCTTGCAGCAGCCGGACGTGTTGGCGATTTCTCCCAAGCAGTTATTAATACACTGGATGAGCCAACTGAGGAAGCGCAGTCGTTCAATGCTCATTTGATACAGCGTGCCAAGAATGTTGCAACGTCAACTGCACATCTCGTGCTTCGGTAAACGCTTTTTTCGTCCGGCCAATGTTCACGTTCCGCATGAACCTTCGTATTTCACGTTATTTTCCATTATTTTCCCAAGCATTCTTATTCTGGTTTTCTCAAATCACGTTTCGCACCGTTGGGGAACCATTTAAAGAAAAAAGAGAAAAAATCTCTTAGCTATTTTGACCGATTTAATTGTATTTGGGAAGTGGGCTAGGGTAACAGAATCAGTTCTCTAGTGGTAAAATTGTTCGTGCACCAGCAGCTGTCTTTTTTTTTTTCTTTTTTTTACTGTGGTTTCCAAAGTTACTCAAACAGCGCCTGTAGTAGAAACTTCCGACGATATAGTGCTTATTGGCAGGCAAAGAATGTAAAACTTAGGCAGCGCACTTCTCGGATCTTGTTTATTTATTATAAAAAATAAGCGCAAAATCCTAAAGGAGTGGCGGATTTTTGTTAAATTCACTGGACAATATCAGCATTTTTAAAGCAGTTTTTAAAATGTTATCAAGCGTCGGTCACAAGCCTCTTTTTCCGGGAGTTATCTGCTTCCAATTGCCTATGCATGCATTCTCACCTTCTCTTCAGAGACTGTCAGAACAGTTTCTACCTCAGTAGAATAATAATTTTTCTGCGCTCCAGAAAGAAAGCGGAAATATCATTAATAATTCGTAGAATAGGTGTTGAGTTTATTTTTGCTTTAGTTGCATGTATTTTCACAGACTGAACTCACCATTAGCTTACAACCCCCAAAAGAGGAAGCTGTTGACTGCCATGCTTTTTTGGCGACCGGTACTACTCGAGCTTTTTGTTGCTGTCTCTGCATCGCGTGGAAGCGTGAGACGAAGGGAGGGATAGACTGATTTTTGTTTGATACTTTCGGCAAGAGAACTTGTAATTGAGAAAACTCGTGGTTATTTGTTTGAAATTCAGGGAAAAGGCATGAACAGCTCGAAAAACTCTTTTTTTTAATGGGAAATCACACATAATTAATGAAAATGTGTGTCTCGGATTTATTTCTGAGTAGCTGTAGCTGCATAGTAGGATATCGGACCTATTTCAACAAGACTTATGCTATTAGCAGATCCTCGAATATGTGCGCGAATATATTTGTGTAAGAAGTTAGTGGGAATTTTTTAAAATCTCTATCTGTACAGTGGAAAAAATTTATGGCTTTTTGCTGTTGGGTGATG